CTGGCCGTGGAGGCCGCGGGCAGCCGGACCGCCGCGGCGCGTCTCGGCGATCTGCTGTGGGGGGGGGGCGCGCAGCTAGTTCAGGGTTCCCTCACCCCATTTGTAAGTAGGGATCCGACATAAGTCGGATCCACGTAACCCGGGGACTGCCTGTATGCACATTCTTACAGGGATGTCAGTGGCAAAAAGGAAAGTAGATCAGTAGTTTCCAAGAGTCTGTAGACCATATCTAAAATTTCCAAAAGGATCTTCACCTTCATTCAAAATTTTTAGGGGTCTACAAATGCAAAACAGTTTGAAAAATGCTGTACATGATAATTCTCAGAGTTAGCATGCTAATTCTATCCTCAAGCAAACAACTCTATATTTAAGTTTTCAACTAGTCTGTTTCTCTTTCTGCTATAGCCTTCGGACTACAGTGTAAAGCAGGGCTAGTCAACATATGGCCCTTTTGTTTGCGGCCCGCAGTGCCATTTGGGTTTACACGGGGCTCAAACCACGGCCTTTGTTTGGGATCCTTTGAACATGACCTCCACTGGGAATACACTCCACAATAGTGAGTCAATATAATGGTCTTCTGTTGATACGCATTTTAGTAGTTAAATTCCTGGACTGTCATTGCTCATTAAATGTGATGTCATATGGGTGGAAATCAGGTAAATATTGCATTTTAATATTAGCAGAACTGACTTATATGGGGCCTGTGTGTTGTGTAGTCTTGCCTTAATCTTTGTATTCATACCTGTCAGTGTGAAAGAAGTTATTTGCACACATATTTGCAACCACCCTTAAGTTGCTCCCCTTGGCATGTGCTGCGAATATCATTGTAGCCCCCTGGGCTTTCAAAGTTGAGTAGCCCTGGTGTCAAGGTATGAAAACCTGTCCATTTGGAATATGCTTGGTTGTCACTCAAATTCAAAGCACAATTAGCTGAGGGTATGTCTACACTAGCCCCCTAGATAGATCTAGGGAGGCTAATGAGGGCGACCGGAATTGCAAATCAAGCCCGGGATTTAAATATCCTGCACTTGATTTGCATGTTCCTGGCCAGTCACCATTTTTAGAAATTGACTAGCCCGAAGTAACTGTCCGCTTCTACACATGGCAGTGAAACGGTCTTCCGATTTAAAGCCCTAAATCGAATTAGGTGGTATTCCTCCTGCAATGAAGTGTACCACCTAATTCAAATTAGGGGCTTTAAAATTGGGAGCCCGTTTCACTGCTGCATGTAGATGTGGGCAGTTACTTCGGGCTAGTCAATTTCTAAAAATGGTGACTGGCCAGGAACATGCAAATCAAGTGCAGGATATTTAAATCCCGGGCTTGATTTGCAATTCCGGTTGCCCTCATTAGCCTCCCTAGATCGATCTAGGGGGCTAGTGTAGACATACCCTGAGATATAAGCTGGCTATTAGGAAGTTTAGACTCGAAATTAGGTGAAGGTTTCTAACCATCCAAGGAGTGAAGTTCTGGAACAGCCATCCAAAGGAAGTAGTGGGGGCAAAAGACCTATCTGGCTTCAAGATTAAACTAGATGGGTTTATGAAGGGGATGGTTTGATGAGGTAACATGATCTTGGCAATTAATTCACCTTTCACTATTGGTAAAATAGGCCAATGATGGGAAGAGATAGGAGTTACTATAGAGAACTTTTTTCTGGGTGTCTGGTTGGTGAGTCTTTCCCACATGCTCAGGGTTCAGCTGATCGCCATATTTCGGGTTGGGAAGGAATTTTCCTCCAGGGTAGATTGGCAGAGGCCCTAGAGGTTTTTTGCCTTCCTCTGTAATATGGGGCATGGGTCACTTGCGGGAGGATTCTCAGCATCTTGGGGTGTTTGAACCATCATTTCAAAGACTTCAATATCTGAGATACAGGTGAGAGGATTATTCTAGCAGTGGGTGGGTGAGATTCTGTGGCCTGCATTGTGCAGGGGGTCAGACTAGATGATCATAATGGTCCCTTTTGACCTTAAAGTCTATGAGTCTATGTATATAAAATTATTTATGGGTGTTGCATGCTACAATATACCAAAAAAAAATTTGAAAACTATCTGAATTCAGCACTGTCCCTCAAACACAAGAGCTCAATCTCTATCAT